TCCCACTTTAAACACTGTGGTTTACAAAGTCATTCATGATGATTTGTTACAGGCCTTCAATATTCCAACACAAATCCTACCACTTTGGGGTTTTGTTTTTGTTTTTTTTTTAGGGTGGCTACATTTAGTGGTGCTCAGGGATCACTTTTGGTGGGTCTCTGGGGACCTTAAGTGGTGCCAGGAATCGACCCAGGTCAGGCTGGCGAAAGGCAAATGCCATACCTGTTGTACTATCTCTCTGGCCCCATGTACCTGAAGTATTTTTAAGATGAAAGGAGGTATGCCTGGGCCCCACCTTAGATGAAGGAATTTCTTTGCAGCGTTGAGCAATCCCTTAAACTTGGTCCTAGGAAGGGAAGGAGAAATCAACACAATGTCTTCCTCTATCTACCCAACAATCTGAAGCAGGTGGGATGTTTGGGTTCTCGGGCCCACAGTGGTTTGGGTTCATGTGAATCTACCTGGCATGGTTCTCCTAGTAGAAGCTGTGTGGTTGAGACTCAGCAGGAAGGAATGCCTCTTTCTCTGTAGTTACTTGTCAAGAAGTTCATGTTTGTTTTGTCCTCATTTCTCATCAAGATGTTTTTCTCCATGAAGAAACTAGCGCTAACCCCATTTTCCTTTCTTTTAATAATTAATATAATCCATCATATGTATTTTAATTGCATCTCCATGAGATACACAGTTCCAAGATTGTTCATGATTGGGTTTCAGTCATGCCATGTTCCAGAACCATCCCTTCACCTGTGTGCATTTCCCACCACCAATGTCCCAGTTTCCCTCCAGCCACCCTCCCCAATCATGCCCTCCCCCCGCTGCCCACCCCAGCCCTCTATGGCAGGCACTTTACCTCTCCCTCCCTCCCTCCTTCCCTCCCACCCTCCCTCTTTCCCTCCCTCCCTCCCTCCTTATCTCCCCCCTTCTCTCTCACTCTCTTTCTTTCTGGGCATTATGGTTTGCAATCTAGGTACCAAGAGGTTATCATGTGTATCCCTTTACATGCTTTCAGCACTCAGTTCTTGTCCAGAGTGATCCAGCGGGTAGGGCGTTTGCCTTACAAGCGGCCAACATGGCCGACCCGAGTTCGATTCCTCCGCCCCTCTCGAGAGCCCGGCAAGCTACCGAGAGTATTCGATATGCCAGACACAGTAACAACAAAGTCTCCAATGGAGACGTTACTGGGCCCGCTCGAGCAAATCGACGATCAACGGGAGGGCCTTTACCTTACCTTTACCTTTTTACTATCTAACCCCATTTTTCTGTGCTCTCTGGCCCGAAGTGGAACCCGATTACATTCAGTTGGGGTTGACTGGTGAAGCAGCCTGGAGGTGCGGGGAGAACTTGAACCTGCTCCCCTGGACTGGGTGGATGGTGGACACCTAAAAAAGCCTGGGGAGGGGGGGTTGACGGGGAGAGTGCAGAATGGACATACTTGGGCCAGGCTGGACCTGGGTTGCTTTCTGCCACGTAACTTCTTGGAGCAGAGGGAAGAAGGGAGGCAGTTTCGCAGAAAGGGGCACAAAAGTCCTCTTCTGTCCTCCTTCCCAGAGAGACGGCCAGTGACCTCAGATGGCCGCGAGCACTTGTTGGAAAGGCTGGACCCGACTGGGAACATAGGAGTGTTTGTGGTGAGGCAGGAGCAGACAGCAGTTCCATTTTGATCAAAGTACTTCACAGTTGCACAATATCGTGGGGGATAGGGGTTGTGGTCTAAAGAGCAATAGACCATGAGTTTATACAAACTTGCACTTTTGCTCCAGAAACAAGTTTCCTTGCGGCGCTCTCTGTTTCCACCAGGGCTGTCCCGTCACCTGTGCCACTGGAGGGTCTGCGGGAGCCAAGTGTCTTGAACGCACTCAAATCCTTCTCTGCTGTTGCCTTTTTCTGTGGAATAAGAAGTCATCACCTTTTCCCCATGTTTTTTTCCCCTGGGTGTTTGAACAATAATTAAAGGGACCCGCCAGCCAGTGGCCGGCTTGGTTGGACTCCCAGACCTCTGGAGTGTTCCATTCTTTGACTCGGAACTTGGTGTTCGAGGCCAGTGACTTTGTTCTGCACGTGGGGGCACGTGCAGGTTCACCTCGGGGACCCGGTGTCCAGCACGGAGCTAACGGGTCAGATGCAGGTCAGGGCCCTCACCTCTGAGATGGGGAAGGTCAGGGTTCCTGGGCCTCTGCAGGTCGGGAAGTGTGTCGGGTGATGATAGGGAAGGATGGGTGGTGAGTTCTGAGAGAGGCAGTCAGGGAGGAGAGTTGAGTTGTCTCAACAAGACAACAAGTTGTCTCAACAAGTTGTCAGAATTAAGGATTTTCAAACAGCATGTAGTTCCAGGATTCCAGTTTTGGTTGGTGGCTGTGAGAATGACTCGCAAGTGGGAGTCTCAGGAGAGGGATACGGATCAGAGCTTTGGGTGGTCAGATGTAGGGACCCTTTCGTCATAGCTTGCATCCTAGAGTCCCACTGAGATTGTGAGGCTGCCGTCATCCACGGCCCCATTGAGTGCATGGCTGAGCCAAACTTGAGGTTCCAGGTGTTCGGGGGGGGCTCGCCTGCAACCACCACATCCTGACCCTGCTGCCTCTGAACCTTTCACCCCGCACTGAAACAGTGGGCCAGGGCAGGCCATTTCTGCCAGTTCCCAGCAACTCCATTGAACTCGAGAACAAAATCCGTGAGGAGAGCAGAAAGACACTATCCCGCACACAGCCCAGAGTAGGGCTGTGGGATGCATCGGGGCGGGGGGAGGGGGGGACGTGGAGTCAGTCCTTCAGGAAGAACCCTCTGAGTTGGGGTGTGTCCCTCTGGGCTCTGCTGATTGCCACCTCTGCCGGGTAGGCACCCCTGGAAGGTAAGGACTGACCAGTGAAGGGAAGAATGAGCATGTATGGGACAGATCTTATATTCATTGTCTTCACCAGAGGGAGCAAGCCGGCCCACTGGTCTGCACACGGGTCTTCTCCTGCCCCCCAGCAGGAAACAAGCCCCTGTCTCCAGCTCCTGCTTTTATACCTGAGGCCAGGTCCATGTGTAAACATGGGCCTGGGGGTGGCCTTCAAGACTTCCTTGGCCCCAAGTCACATTTGCACAAATTAAGTGCAGGTGTTGTGCGAACTGGTTAGGATTAAGAATGTCGGCTCCAGCGTTCCATCCAGTGACTGTTTCCCAGTTGGGATGAGCAGGCGGCAGCCAGAGAGCAGAGAACTCTGGGGTGGGACCTGTGACATTGTCTTGGATGTGAGAGAGAGAGAGAGAGAGAGAGAGAGAGAGAGAGAGAGAGAGAGAATGAGAGAGAGAGAGCAGCACATGAGTGCGTGTGATTGAGAAATTGTCTGTTGCCTTTGGCACGGGGAGAGGGAAAACATCACACAAAATTGTGATTGAGAAAGGGGGGCCTGGGCGGGATTGGCTCTCCGAGGCCGACACCCTGAACCCCACAGGCCTTCTTCAGCTCACTGTGGCCAGTGGCCCATGGGACTGCCAGCGTCCACGTGGCTTTGGCACACTGCCGGGTTCCCGTTGTGGAATGCAGAAGGGCCCGGGCGGGTTTGTGATGTGGGCGCCACGGCTGCCGGCGCGAGTGTCTTATCCTTTCTTCCCTCATGCAACTTCTTCAATGCTGATCCCAGAGGCCCTGCAGCCATTGGCTATTACTTGTGGCATCAGCGTCCTGGTGGAAATAGGTCCCTGGTTCCACGGGGACCTGTGTGCTCCCCTGCCAGGCCACATCCCCATCTCCCTGCCGCTGTCCGCCATGGCCCACCCCACACTATCCTCCAGGGCCCAGATTCCCGGGCAGGGGGAGGATTGGGTGGAGGTGCGTTCTGCAACCTTCTGTGACATGAGAATTAGAGTGTGGCTGGTAGAAGAGTCTTGTTCTAGGCCCAGTGGCTCATGCCACGGGGCATCCAGCAGTCCCAGGCCACGGCATGGCCATGCGCAGGCCTCCCAGGTATCCAGCTCCCAACCAGCCCACCTGTTGTCCCGTGTGGGTTCCGCTGGGAAAGCCCTGGGCTGGGAGTCGGTGAGCTCAGGGCCCTGCCCAGCTTGGAGAACCTAGAACAAAACAAGGCAGTGGGTCTGAAAGCACTCTGGGCAAAGGAACACTACAGATGCAAAAGCCATGGAAGCTGGGTTTTTTGTTTTGTTTTGTTTTGCTTTTGGCTTTTTGGGTCACACCTGGTGATGCTCAGGGGTTGCTCCTGGCTCTAGCACTCAGGAATTACATCTTGCGATGCTCAGGAGACCTTATGGGATGCTGGGGATTGAACTCATGGTGTCTGTGGGCAAAGCAAATGCCCTTCCTGCTGTGCTATTGCTCCGGACCCAGATGCTGGTCTCTTGATGTCTTTCTATCAGGGCTCAGCCTGGCCCCCAAATAAAGAAGCTCCAGGATCTCAGACTTGGGATGGGGGAGTCACTGCAGCTCCGAGAACAGCTGGGGAAACAGCCTGTGTCCTTGAAGACTGCACTGTACCCCAAGCTGCCTCACAGCCTCTCGTGCCTGGGACTGGGGATCGGGGACAGGGGAGCCGCTGCGCCTCCAGCCCAGTGTGACTCGCCGAGGGGATGGAGCTTGTGGGCATCACGGCACCGTGAGGGCAGTGTGGGGAGCAGGCAGAGGCCCAGCACTCCTGAACAGGCCGTGCTGTCTGGGCCTTTTCTACCTGTCTCCGGAAGTACTGGCTTCCTCCCTGGATGCTATCTACAGCGCTTGCTCGGATCTCGGTGCTGGTGGGGCCCATGGTAGGATGTACCGCGCATTTCCAGCCCTTAGGCAGGACCAGGAATAGATGCTGCTTTGGCAGCAGTCCATGGAGGAAGGGGGCAACTGCAACTGTCTGAGAGGCAGCGAGTTTGTCCATCCGTGTCCGTCTCCCAGGCCCCGAGCCCCTCTCTGCTACTGCGGGGGGAGTGGGGGAGGGGGGCCTGCAGAGTCCACAGGTGGGGCGGCCCTTCCCGTGAGCCAGCACCCAGCAGCCTGTCTTTTCCTCTCCTTACAGGAAGTTGCACAGTGGGATGAAGACCTACGGGTGCGAGCTCTGCGGGAAGCGGTTCCTGGACAGTTTGCGGCTGAGAATGCACTTACTAGCTCACTCAGGTAGGCGAGCATGCCCCATGCCCCGGCCGGCCCTCGGAGCACGGCCCCCACTCTGGCCATGGCTCCCCCGCCCCGCCCCGCCCCACCGGACGCGTGTCCCTCTCGCCCCTCGGAGCCCTCTCCCAAAGGCTCCTGGACCGATGCCTGTCCTCCTGGGCTGGCCCTCAGCGGGAATCTGCTCTCCCACTCCCTGCAAGCTGCCCAGGGCGTCGCTGGCCCCCAGTGCCCTGGGTGATCCACCTTCCGGAGTTGACTGCGGTTTCATTAGCAAAACTGTTGTGGAATTAGGTTCTGGCTGTCTAATGAATCCGACTATTGGGTTCACATTATACAGGAGCCTTTAATTAAATAGATATAGAAAGGTTGGAACACAAAGCTAGTTACCGCGTGGTGTCTTTTGCAAGTTAATTTTATCCAATTCTAGTGGGGTCGGCCGTGCGGCGGCTGGTATTTTTTGCTCGTGTCGGGCAAAGTGAGTCTGACCCATGAGGCGTGGAGAGGGGGAGACGCGTCTGACACCCAGCGGGCCCCGTTCTCGGTGGAGGGAGGGAGCACTCGTGTGCTCGGTAGCGGGAGAGGCCTCGGTCCTCCTGTGGGGGTCCCCTCCCTCCCCGGCTCCCCTGGCTTGGCCCGCTCAGGGGCACGTCTGCGGGGAGAAGGGAGGGCTGGCTTTCTCTCGGGCCCTTCTGTGTGCTCTTGGCCTCTCGCCAGCGTCCACACGCATCGCCTGCTCTCTGGCCTCCGGGCAATGGGGGCCGCATGTGAGAGGGGCTCCCGGGCTTGTCCGTGCTGTGTGTGGCCTTCGGCAGCTTGGTCGCCAGCACCCCAGCTCTGCTTCGGCGGGGCATCGAGTACTGGAGGAGAGAGGCTCACGCATTGCATTTCTGGGATCAGGTGACAGGAATGACAGTAAAGGTCCCCCAGGCCCCCTCCCCCCCCCTCCCCCACCACACAGCTGGTGAGTACTTTTGCTTCCACTTTCCCATCTGCCTCTCTCCCGCCCAGTTTCGAGATTGCCACCTTGGGGTTCATCCCCTTGGCCTTGTGGCAGCAGCTTCCAGCCTGGCTGGTTGTTTGCCGCCTGCCAAGGCTCTGGCCCTGATTGGGGATGGGGCGCGATTGCCCTTGGGGAACGGCTCACGGAAAGTGCTCCGCCCGGCCCTGCCCTGTGGCTTGGTGTTTTACTGGGCGCTGGTGCTGTCTCCCCAACGGGCCCCGCCCACCTCCCCTTCCTGTCTTTCTCCTCTAGAGACACAGCGGGTTGGTGGCCCCTCGGGTGTCCCCCCTGTCTCCCCAGGTCTCTGTGCGTTCTCCGTCCCCACCCCCACTGAGCCACCCTCACCTGGCGCCCCTGTCTTGGGCACTGCTTTGTCTTCTGTGCCCTTCCGGTCCGAGTTTCGGGTTGGAGCCTTGAGTCCGGCTTCCCTGCAGCCTTGTCTGTCCATGTTTGAGCGTGGGGGTGCATGCGCTCCACGCCCCATGCAGAGTAGGGGGTCTCTGTTCTCTTGCTTGCTGCTCTGCAACCCTGCGTGGTCTCCGAGTGGAGTCAGGCCCGTCAGAGTGGGCCCCTGTGACAGCATCCTTCTCCCTCCCTGAGTCCGGTGGTCCAGGCAGACTTGCCCACCAGCTGCCTTGCTGGCAGGCCAGCCCGGCTCACTAATTACACAAGTGGGTAAGCAAAATCAGTCTCCCGAGATGCCCCGTGGCCCCCCACCTCCAGCCACAGCCCATCGGGCGGGCATCCTTTTGCGTGCCTGGGAACGGGGGTCTGGGCAGGACACTGACTTCCTCGGGGCTGGGGCTCACCCAGTTCTTCCTGGCGGTCAAAGCTGGCTACTCGGGCGCTTGCCTCCTTCCTGGGGGAGCATAGGACTGAGCCCCTGCAAGCTGAGAGCCTATAGCCCTACCCAGAGAAGGCGTGAGGGAGACGTCCACCGTCCCCTTCACCCGTGCCTGCCGCGGACAGCTCTGAGGAAGACCATTCATGCCATTCCCGCCAAACCCTGAGCCAGAGCACAGGGTCTGTTCCTGCAGGGCTTCGCCTGGGTGCTGGGGACCTGTGGCCACGAACCCACCCACAGCCTCTGACCCGCCCTGGGTCTCTGCTGCAGAAGCAATAGCTCGGCTATATGGGGGATTCACAGAGGGTTAGCCAGGAGCGCCCCAGCCCGTCCTGGGTGAACGTGAATTTGCCCCCCTCCCCCCAGCAGGCACAGGTGTCAGCAGGGCTGGTGGGGCTGACGGGTGCCAACAGTGTGGAGGCAGGAGCAGCCGGCACCGGGTCAGGGTCAGGATCCTTGGGTCAGGCAAGGTAGGTGGCTGCACCCCTCCCTGTCCGAGGTGCTGCTTTGGGGTCCCCTGGGCCCCGGCAACTTTGGGAGCGGGCCCCGCTTCCTATTGATCCATGCACTAGATGATTGATAGCTCTGACATCCCTTCCTGAAGCCCTTTCGAGGGAGTTTTTGTGATGGGGTGGTGGGGGGGGGGCGGGGAGGAAGGACCTAGCAAGGTGTTAATTCACTTTCACTGACAGCCCAGTGCCTATATAGAGGCTGACATTTCTATTTGGAGTTTTCTTTCTCTTGTCCGGCCTCCCTCTCCCTTCTGTCCAGAGACACCTTCAAAGTTCCAAAATATCAGAAACTTAGCCAAGCGCTTCCATTCTACGCCCCCCCCCCACCCCCCGACCCCCATCTTGTTTCCCCACACAAACAATGAAGAAACCTCTGGAGAGGTTTGATCAGGAAATTAGGGTTGGGGGGTTGTGCTCAGTGGTTGGGGCCCACCGGAATGAGGAAGGGGGCCATGCAGCCTTAGGTGCGGTTGGGGGACACTTTACATGCATTGGCTTAAAGAAGATAGGTTTTTGGGAAATGCCAATTTATTTTTTTTTCCTGAACAGGGGGGAGAAGCCAGATCATTCGGGGCACCTCTGGCTGGACTGGCTTGGGGGAGCAGACGTTGGTCATGCGCAAGCCGTCTCCTCGGCCCCCAGTCGCCTGCTCCCCGCCTGCGATATTCAGGGAGAGACGGGATACGTTGCCAGGAGAATCCCTCGTTGCTCGGGTCGAAGCCTTTGCGGGGGGGGTGGTCCCCACAGCAAGCCATGGAGTTGTGAACCCCCCTCCAGGGATCCTCCAGGTCACAAGGCATTGGGAAACAGGGCGGGGGGAGGGGATACGTCCTTTAGCAGTCAAGTGGAGAAGGGAGCCCGGGAGTGGGGTCGGGGCATGGACTCCCCCCAACCCCCCCCCCCCCACCGAATGTCAGGGCTGGAGGCTGCTGTGTTTGCTCCGGGGAGCCCTGGGCCATGCCCTGGGTTCTGGGCGCCTGCTCCCTCCGCTCCTACAGGGCGTGTGCGCTGCCCCCACCCCTCTTGGCGAGCCTGGCGCGTGTTTGTTATTGTAACTCTGGCACGTGGCCAGGCCTGGCAGGGCGCCAGCCTGTGGGTACAGTGTGTACAGTGAGTGCTGAGCCAAGTTTGTCATCATACACCATTAATTTTTTTTTTCTAATCTGGTAGGGGTGGGGTGAAGGCGGAGGCAAGACCCGGGCTCCTCCGAGCGAGCAGGGCAGGAGAACAAGGCCCCCGCGGAATTCTGCAGCCGTGTTATTTGTGACTCTCGGCCCGAGTGCCCGCCCTTGTTTTTTCCTCCTTTCTCTTCTCTCCCTGCCGGCCCTCCAGCGCGAGCTCCTCCGAAACCCAGTGAACAGGACACGACACTCAGACTCCTAAATCAGTTTTCATTGTGTTGCAATTGACAATTTGTTTAATTAGAAGTTTGCCCTGTAGGAGGCCCTCCCAGAGATGGTCCTTCTTTCTCTCTCATACTCTCTCCCTCTCTAATCCCTTTCGCCCTCTTTCTCTCTCTCCCCCCCCTCCTCCTCGTCCTCTTCCTCTCCCCCTCCCTCTCCCCCTCCCTCTTTCTCTTCCTCCTCCTGTCCCTCTCTCTTCCTCCCCCGTCTCTCTCTCTCTTCCCTTTTTAAGACCCTAAATGGTAGTAGTGAATGTTCTGTTTAATTGAAGTTTTTAATTTCAATTTGAATGCGTTAACTAATCAAGTGTTTATGAGATACACCTGATGACAAGAATAAGTTTTAATTAACAGACACTATAACCCATTGCATTCCCTAACGAGCTAGATCTGGCCGGGGCCCCGTGTTCCGAGTCAGAGGAGATTTGGGAGGTCAGGAGGTTAGGTCGGGGTGCTGGGCAGAGAGGGACCCCTTTGGGTTTCTCACTCAGCTTTTCCTTCTGGAAGCAGAGCCTTGAGGGGTTCGAGAGAGGGTGAGGGCAGAGGGACCAAGAGCTGCTGGATCACCGAAGTCCCCTCCCCACACTCCACAGCTGCATCCCTGCCTCTCGTTATTGTCACTGAGGAAGGTGACGCGGATCTGGGACATCCGTGCAGAGACCTTAGACTCGGGCGGGCACTGGTCAGCCTGGATAGATTTCCCTCAACGTGGCCTGACACGCTGGTGAATAGAAGGGGCCACCCCCAGCACGGCCTTGCTAAGGGGTTTGACCCCCTGCTGGCTGCCTCCCCACATTTTTCTGGGCTCTGCTCCTGTTCTGGGGCTCTGGGTGTTGTTCATAAGCCCTTGTCGCCTGGGGCGGGGAGGCTCTGTCTTCTCAACATTGAGCTTCAGTGCCTTGGGGAGAATTTTTGGCTGTGTATTGGTGATAAGGGAAGGAGCGATGGGCAGAGTTCTGGGGGGTAGGGAGGAGGAGGAGGAAGAGGCCTTGTAGAGGCTGATGGAACTTAAGTGGATGGTAGGGATGGAACTCTCCAAGAGGAAGAGGAGGAAGGGGAGGAGGAGGAGGAGGAGGAGGAGGAGGAGGCACCCTTGTAGATGCTGATGGAACTTAAGTGGACAGTGGGGATGGAACTCTCCAAGAGGAAGAGGAGGAAGAGGAGGAAGGGAAGGAAGGGGAGGAGAAGGAGGAGGAGGAGGAAGGGGGCAGGAGGAGGAGGAGGAGGAGGAGGAGGAGGAGAAGG